TCTAGGTGTGGAACCAAATTTAAAATGGCAGAGTCTTGTATTTTTCTCTAGAACGAAACTTTATATAAATAAGAGTGTAATGACAAACACGTATAGTTATCTAGGAGGTTTGTTAATTAAATGATGAGAAAAAAAAATGCAATGATCATTGGATTTGGCAATGACATCGATCTATCAAATGTGATAATAGTGTTCACTTGACGTCATTTAATAATTTAGAAAAATTTTCCACTTATTTGCAATATCTTTCGTATAATGAATATTAAAATCTCTTATTTCTTAATTTTAATTGACCTTTTATTAAATATCTCAATTATAATTTGCCTTCATTAATAACTAACTTCATTAGTAACACTCTAGTGAAAGGTACAATGTTGATAAACATTGTATATACAAAAAGCTTTATTTTAATTCTGTTGACATTGAAATGTTGCTAACATACATTAGCGATTAGCAAAAAGAACATTTAAGCACCCAACGAACATTTGGCTTCACGTTTATATACCTAACAACACAATGCAGGAATATTTCCTAAAAATTTAACAATTGATTTTGTCAAATGTAAACAAAGTGAATCGAAATAAATGGCGCAAATTTAATTAAACCGATCATTACAAAACTAGATAATAATTATGATTTCATAAAATTATTAGATAGAAAAAGAAAGGTTTAAAATCTGAGGTCCTTAGCATGGTAGGTACCCACGACTTTTCCATGTAAATTCTCCACAAGATAATAGTGTTTGCCAAGCTTTTCTTTAATTCTACACTTTATAAATACAGGAGACAGTTTTGCATTAAAATTTTGTTCATTACTACTCTGGGCAAAGCTACGACGAAATATTTCCTGACCTATTTGAAAACTTTGGGGCCTAGCACGAAGATTGTACTGCTTACGATTTATGTTATATGCTTCCCTAATATGTTTTCTCAAATCAGCACGAATCAAGTTGAGACTATCGTCCCTGGATAAGTGATATGATGGTTCATCCAGCAATTTTATATTTTTGAGTAAACTATATGTGCTGCCATGGGTAACCATATCTAACCCAAACAGAGCATGGTATGGAGTAGACTGTATGGCCTGGTGATGAGAGTTCCTTAACGCGCAACTGATTTTTGACAAGTTTTCGTCCCATAGCCTGTGGTCGTTCTTCAAATAGGCACGAATCCCAGCAATTACTGACCTGTTCACTCTCTCCGATGCATTACTTTGCGGAGAGTAGACGGCTGTATAGATGTGGCTTATTCCGTAGTTAGTAAGAAAGGCATTAAAATCATTTGCCCGGAATTGTGAACCATTGTCACTGATAATGGTTTCCGGCACACCATATACATGAAAGATTTGTTTTTCTAAATTTTCAATAATTATCGTTGAGGTAAACTTTCGCATGGGAAACAGCCAGTGAAATTTCGTTAGATGGTCTAGTACTATTAACAGTCCGATGTATCCGGTTTTACTCCTAGGGTAGGGTCCAAGCAAATCAATATAAAGGCGTTGAAAAGGCCTCAAAGATAGAGCTTGTTTACCCATCTCTGGTTTAAGACAATAGTTTGGAGCTTTTGTACTTTTACATACATCGCATTGTCTTATATATTCTCTAATGTCTTTTACTAAACCAGGCCAATAGAAATGTCGACGAACCAATTCAATGGTTTTGGCCATACCACCGTGAGCCCTTTTTATCACATCTTTTCTTAGTTGGTGTGGAATCCACAATTTCCAACTCTTTTGTTCTTGGTTCTCTTCTCCACTATAATGTTCTGTGCGAATATAAATATAATTATCTACAACTTTGATGTCTGGGTATTGTGATTGTTGGCTACTGATTTTTTCTTTTAAATTAACATAGTCCGGATCTGAAAAATGTGATGAAGTTAAATCTACTTCCGGTTGTGCTAAAGTGAGAGCTGAAACCTCATCAATACAACTACGAGACAGTGCATCCGGCACAATATTATCCTTGCCTTTCCTATGGCTTATGTTAAATTTGAAAGACTGCAATTTGAACACCCACCGAGCAAGTCGTCCGGTAACGTCAGATTGTCTCATGAGCCAGACGAGACTCGAATGGTCCGTAATTATTTCAAATTCCTGTAGTTCGAGATAGCACCGGAAACGTTTAATGGCTTCTATGGCTGCCAGGCACTCACGCTCGGTGACACTGTAATTTCTTTGAGCAGTGTTTAATTTTTTACTCATAAAAGCTACAGGCCTCTCATTTCCTTCCTCATCCATCTGTATGAGGACTGCCCCTATACCTATGTCACTGGCATCGCAATGGAGATAGAATTTTTTGGAAAAATCAGGGTTTATTAGAACTGGGGCTGTTGTTAACAAACTTTTTATAGTTTCAAACGCTTTCTGGGCCTCAGGAGACCAGCAAAACTTCTTCTTTGTTGTTAGGACTTCAGTAATGGGGAAGACTATACTCGAAAAATTTTGGATGAACCTTCGGTACCATCCCGCAAGACCTAAGAACCCTCTAACTTGCCTAATTGTTTTGGGAATTGGCCAATTAACTATGGCGCTAACTTTCTGAGGGTCTGTAGTTATGCCACCACTGCCTATCACGTAACCAAGGTACTGGACCCGAGTTACGCAAAACTTGCTTTTCGAAACATTTAGCGTTAGGTTCGCCTTTCTAAACTGTTCTGATACACGAACAAGCAAGGACAAATGGCTTTCAAAGTCAGCAGAAACGATTATCAGGTCATCTAGATAACCAAACATTGAGTGTCGAAGTTCTGGTGGAATTATCTCATCGATCAGACGGCTCATAGTTGAAGGGGCATTACAGAGCCCAAATGGCATAACGACAAATTGATAAAGGGGCCTGCCTGGTACGGTGAACGCTGTAAGTGGCTTTGCACTATCGGCTAGGCCGATTTGCCAATAAGCATCCTTGAGATCCAATTTGGATATTATATTGGCCCTTGGAAGCCTTGCAAATATACCCTCTATTGACGGCAACGGATAAGCGTCCTTTTTAGTGACGGAATTAAGCTTCCTTGCGTCGAGGCAAAGACGGACTTTATTAGGCTTGATCACAAGCCTCATGGGAGAACTCCAAGGGGATTGAGAAGGTTCAATTACCCCTAATGCCAACATCCTATCTATTTCTGCAAACATCAGTTTTTCCACTGCGGGAGAAACTGGATAGAACCGCTGTTTGACCGGCTTGGAATCTCCAATGTCGATCTCGTGCCTAATTAGGCCGGTTCTCCCTAACCCTTGCTTTTCAAAATTGGGGAATAATGCTATTATAGCATCTAATTGTTGGCGTTGGCCAGGAGTTAAAGGAAAATCGGGTTCATCTAATGTAGCATTAGATTGAACTTTTTCTACAGACTGGACTTCAGATGTATGATTAATATTAGCAGACGGAGGACAATAACATAGCAAAGACTTATCTATTATATCTACTGATTCAACTATATTCGGAATCAAATTGAAGGCATTCCAAAAGTCAATACCAAGGATTAAATTGTGAGTGATTGATGGGATAATAAAGAGATTAATTGTACGTTTCTGACTTCTAAATTCTATCTCAACCGTTAACCAACCTATAACATGTTGAGCCTGACCATCGGCAGTTTTCACTTCTGAACGGCATTTATGAAATGTTTGTAATTTGGAAAAATTTTGCTTAGCAAGCTCACCACCTATGCAAGATATATTGGCTCCTGTATCCAGGAGTCCATACTCTTGAAAGTTTAGGAATGAAACCTTAGCATAGAACCGTTGATCTGCAGAGTTGGTAATAATAGCAGAGATCAAAAACTTTCTACACAACCTACGTTCTTTGTAAAATAATCGCAATCTAATGGTATTTCGTTTGGGCTTTTGTTTTGAAATCATGGAAATTGAAGGTGAATTAAAAATTTCACGTCGTTTCGACATATAGTTTTGCCACCTTATATGGTACGGTCATTTTGGAAAAATTAATTTGTTACAGTTCAAATCTTCATAGTTGGAATAAAACTCGTCATTTTCTCTCTTCAATATTTTTATACTTTTGTCTAAATTTATGTTGTTTGTTACCAGTTTCTCAGTATTATCTATTTTGCCAATATTGTGTGCTTTTATTGAGTATTCGATATCATTGTTTCTACTATTTTCGAGTTTTTTGAAAAATTTATCTTTCTCGAAGAACATTTAGGGCATTGCGGCTTATATGTGTTCTTGGCTCCACAGCCGTAGCAGAACACAGTGCGTTGCATGAGACAATCGTCCCAATAATGACCAGATTCGTCACAATTCCAGCAACGTACTACCTTGTCCTGTACTTGCAATGCGTTTACCTCATTTGTCGAGGAATTTGGTAGTTCGAGGACATTTTCATCCTCTAAGTAATCTAATTCTGCTATCTGTCTTCTAGAAAATTGAGGATTTTGTGGGCGGTAAGTCAAGTTTTTTCTAACGTGTTCGTCATTCAAGAATGATTCCCTCATTTGTACCAGTTTCCGCAAATGAGAAATGGAATGTACTGGCACGTAGAGCAGATCTTGTCGGATTTCAGGTCTCAAATTCCGAGTAAGGATTTCGATTAACTCCATCTTTGACATAGTTGAAGGCAATCGATCCATAATAGAGGATATAGAATCGTAGAAAACATCGAAAGTTTCGCCAACTTTCTGCTTTCTATTCCTGATTTCTTCCTTTATGTCGAATGAGGATTTAAAGTCGCGATATTGGCATTTAATGGCCTCACAAAATTCTTCCCAATTAAAAGATTCGGTCTGTTTTCGATATCGCCAATACCAATCTTTGGCCTTACCATTTAAGAGAACATTTAAGTTTTTGACGATGGGAGTAAAATCTCCATTAAAATTATCATAAGTTAATGATCGAATTCTGTAGAGAAATTCCTCTACATTCAAACCGGATGGGGAACCATCAAATTTTATATTCCAGCTGGAGATAATGGCTGTTAACTTGTCCATGTTATAATTGGCGACATTAGAATGTGAAACTGAGGATGTATTGACCCTGTTTGCCTAATTTTGCGCAGATGTTACTACATTCCTATTCTCAAAATAAATATTTTCAGTACGATTTGTGCGCGGCTGGCTATTAGCATTAGGAATTAGGTTTAAATTAGTTAGTAAACGAGTGAGATTGTTTTCAATCATTTTATTTAATTGCTCATAATCTACAGTAGCCCTTGCGTTTCTAGAAGGTCTAGAATTTGAAGGGTTATCAACGTTTGGTGAATTTTCTTGACTTGGACGATTAACATGCCCTGGAGTAAAAACTTCTTCGGAGTCATTAGCTACATTACTGAATTCATGTAAAGAACGTTGACTTTCTTGAAACAGATTTCTAACGTGGCTACGAGTGTTGTAGCGTTTAGCCATTGCTCCTCTTCCTCGCTTTCCTGGAATCTGTTTTACAGAGGGATTTTGTTTATTTAAAGGATTAATTTTCTTCAGATCTACTAGTTCGCATGGACGTTTGCAAATGGGGCATTCGGTGTTATTGGATAAATAATATTCAATACACGAACGGTGAAACGAATGATTACAATTTGTGATATTTAAACAATCGTCATTTTCTGTCATCAAATTATTACAAATCTGACAAATGGGCTCAGACTCTGAAACAATGATAGGCGCAGATTCCATGTTTACAGGTAATATAGAAGCTGAAGCAGCAGCTTCGTTAGGAGGTGTTCTCGAAAGTGACATTTCAAATCAAAAAAAAAGTATAAAAGATGTTACGAACAACTCAAAACTTATCAACAAATACGAAAAAAAATCTTAGGGAATTCTTATTTTTTTTAAGAATTTATTACCCTTCAACCTAATACAAACTTTCGAGTTTAATTCCAACAATAATCGTATAAAATTTTATGCTTAATTCAAAAGGTTAAAATTTTTTTTTTTTTCACAAGTCTACATGAAAGGAATTATTATCAACTGTATCTAACCTATATTAGTTATATTCAAGAATTTAAGAAATTAGCAGATGTTGAAATAAATTTCGTTAAGGCTTAGTAAACTTTTTCAGAACTTCGCAAGGAGTCAATTCTTGAATTGTTGGCTTGTTTAAGGAAGTAGATTTTAGAAAAAGATGAAAGACAAGAATTTTGACAATTTCAGAAATTTATCTACTTTGATACTTTGAAAAAAAAAAAAATAATAAAAATGAGCAAGAAAATTCTTTAACATATATTTACTGCTATATGTGACTTCTACATTGTTTGTATCAGTTTATCAATAAATTAAAGAAATAGAAGATAATCGTATTATCATACAAAAATTAGTTTTTATTTTCCTTAGTATATATGTATATTAGGGTGATCGATTATTCGACATTTTCCAAAAACCGGTTTTCGAATAGTTCGAATAGTTGACATTTGAAAAAAACCGGTTGATATTTTTCAAATTCAGAAAAAACCGGTTAACCGGTTTTTCATTATAAATAAAAAATCTATTTTAATTTGAAAAAATTAACGTTTATGTTTAAATTTGATTAATAAAACATGGCCCGAACTGATTTTTAACAGTTTAAAAGATTATAACTTTAGATCTAGTCGTCTGATTTACATTATTTCTTTAATATAAAAAATTAGGAAAAAAGTGGGACACTTCTGTTAAACATAAGGAACTTTGTAATACTAGCTTATTCTAAAATCCCTGCTTAGGCAATTTTCAAAGGCATTCCAACACTTCCATAATATTTCAGCCGCAAATTAATTGTTGTTATAGGAATATAATCTTAAGATTGGTAAAATTTTATCAAGCAGTTATTCCAATCAATTTTACAAATAAAATTTGTTAATTAATTAATAAAATCAAAAAAGTTTAACCAAAGGTGCTTTAGAAAAATATACTCTAGTTCCTGTACCCCAATATTTTTAAAATTTAGACGGGCTGTATTATTATCTACTTCAAAAATTAATTTAAGTAATCTTTGAATACAAAGCAAATAAAAGTATTCGAAACCGGTTTTTAAAAAGTAAAAAAACCGGGTTATTCGATATTCGAAAAATCAACATTTAGAAAAAACCGACACTGGTAAAGCAGAAAAAACCGGTTTTAAAACCGGTTGAAAAACCGAGGCGATCACCCTAATGTATATATATATATATATTTTTCTACTCCATTAAATTTTATCAACTTGTTCACTCTTACAAGAGTTTTGACATAAATTTTCAAATGTATATTGACGAAAGTGAAAACATAATACTTTATATTTTCTCACTTTATGGTATAATTTAATAAAGTTTTTATAAACTGTGTTTTCTTTTTGGGTAATAATTGGAATCAGGTGTAAAATGTAAGTATAGTTGTAACTAATAAAATATGTAGGCAAAACAAAACCAGACTATGGAGATTTTTGTACTAAAATGTTTAAAACTTCAATATGACAAACCAGATTTTTCTTTTCCACTATAAACTTAAACAAAAATTGGACAAATATTCGCAACCGCAAATTTTCCGTTTTCCTAATATTTATTCAAGGGCTGATACCTCAGTATAAAGAAGTTAAAAATCAAATTGTTACAAATATCTAAAATATTTCAGAAAAATTATATGACAAATTACATAACTAATTAAAAAGACAGACAATTGACTTATCGGTCGTTTAACTCGCAGAAAACGCAAGTTAACGAAATTCCAGAGAAGTGTTGTTTGTTATTCAACCAGACATGTAAGTTTGTAACACAATTTTTCAGAAAACTTTATTTTAATGAAATTTAGTAAATTTAACAATAATCGGAAATAGGAACCAAAAGCAAACAATGGGTTGTTTAACTTCCGGGCCCCACGTTGGGCGCCATTTTATATTATCTGTAATGTACACAAAGAAACGACTTCCACTATTCAGTAACAGAATAAATTATTTACTCTTAGAGATTGCCAAGTTTAGGACTGCGGGAGCCATGTAGTAGCTAGCAAACAATCGGGCAGGGGGGTTCTGTCCTTCCTTGAAACAATATCCTGTTCATATACAGATGGTTTTATTGTAGACTCCCTATTTTTTTCTAACGATGTTCATAGAAAGTAAACTCAATGGACCGGAATGACTACGAAAATAAAATTATTACTACAAAAGCCCGTTCATAGTCATAAGTTAAAAAGAGCAAATCTAATAACAAAACATATTTTAAACACTATACTCAAATTCAGCTCTATTAGATGTTATTTAAGAGCTGTTCTCTGTACCCTCCCAATACCTGTGTTCTAAAAAACAATATTATTTAGAACCCCTTGAAAAACACTTAACACTTTACCCTAGAAAACACATAACTTTATATTCAGCTTGACATTATAGTAATTCAAATATTTATTCAATTAAAATATTCTAAACATTTTTAAAATTTAAAGTTTTATAGAATTCTTGCTTATATAGTAAACTTTCAACAATAGAAATAACAATAATACTACGTAATTGGTGACAAAATAGTGAGAGCATTCATTAACAAAATATAATTTTAATAAATTTGAAATATAAACCGAAAACGTTTACGTTTTATGACCGGTTACGAATGTAAATGTTTCAGAAAAAAAAACCTGATGTAATAATGTAAATAGGTATGTTGCAAAGTGATATGTATTTCAACTCAGTTTCCCCCTTTATTAACTATGTAGATTTTATAATTGCTCTTTTTAAAGAGCTACAATATTTAATTATACAATTTGTTTTGCATGATCCCGTTATATCATATATATTAGGTTTAAGTCATTGTTTTAATAAAGACTAGTTTGAGTTGAGTTGTAAACAGCAACACGTGAGTTTCAATTTGTTAAAAAAACATATCATTGGCGACGAGGATTAAAAGTGAAAAAAAAAAAAAAAAAAAAATTATAATGGCAGAAGGCCCAGTCGCTTTAGTTGGAACTATAGAAATATATAATGCTGGTGAAGATTTTGTTCTCTATATTAATCGGTTGAACCATCTGTTGTCTCTCAACAAAATTAAAAATGATGTGGATAAAATATCGTTTTTAATAAGTCTTGGAGGAGCAGAACTCTACAAAACAATGTGCTCACTTTTGGCACCTAAGACGGAAGCTGATTATAAATATGATGATATAGTCAAGTTGCTCAAAACACATTTTAAACCCCAAAAGAACATTATTATAGAGTGCTTCAAATTTTTCAAAAGAGAACAAAAACCATCAGAAACAGTTTCAGAATATATTGTGGAACTTAAGCAGCTCGCACAAGAATGCGATTTTGGGTTGTTTCTGGAAAAAGCTCTCCTGATCAAATTTGTTTGTGGACTAACAAATGAAAATATTCAAAATAAAATATTAAACGAAAGTGGATTAAAAAGTTTTGAGAAAGCATGTCAAATTGCATTGTCGATGGAAATGTCAAACAACAATATAGAGCTTATGAGAAATAATTGCGAAGTAAACCGGCTTAACTATGGACGACTTGGGGCAAGGAAACAGACTGCGGACGACTATCAGGCTACAAAGACGCAGGAGAGGAAAGTCAACAACAGGTCCGATATAAAGTGCTTCTATTGTAAAAAGCGTGGTCATTACGAGAGAAACTGTTGGCATAAAAGAAGAGATGAAGAAGATGAAAATAAAAATATGTATGCAAAACGTAAGAATAGAAATAAGATTAAACATATAGATTATTGTAGTGATGAATATGTTAGTGATTATTCTAGTAATGATTATTTAAATAATTTATATGATTGTAATTATACAAAATCGTTATTAGTTTTTGTTAAAATTGAAGGTGTTCGTATCGAAATGGAAATAGATACAGGAGCTTGTGTTTCCATTTGTCATATTTCAAATTACAATAGTTATTTCAAAAATTTAAAGTTAGAAAAACAATGTGAAAATCTTAAAGTGGTAACTGGCGAAAATGTTGACGTGGTTGGTTCTGTTGTTGTTGAAGTGGAATTTGAGGAAAGAATTCATAATTTGAAATTGGTTGTGTTGAATTCGCAACACATATTTAAGCCCCTTTTAGGAAGAAACTGGCTAGATGTAATATTTCCTCATTTAATAATGTAAATGCTATAAAACTCAATACAAATATTAATTTTTCGTTTGATACATATAATAGTCTGTTCTCTAAAGGAAATGATTCGACAATAAAAGACTATGTTGCTGAAATTGTTTTAAAAGAGGAATCATACCCAATATTTGCAAAAGCACACCAAGTACCGTTTGGATTAAGAACCAAAGTTGAAGCGGAACTTGATAAAATGTGTGAAGAAGGCGTATTAGTTCCTGTAAATCGAAGCAAGTGGGCAAGTCCTATAGTCATTGTTAACAAAGGTGACGGTTCTATTCGAATATGTGTTGATTGTCGCAGAACTGTGAATAGATTTGTAGAAAATGAACACTATGTATTACCTAGGGTAGATGACATTTTGGCAAGTTTGTCAGGTTGGAATTATTTTTGCAAATTGGACCTAACTGGAGCATACTTACAAGTAAAAGTGTCTGATCGATCTCGCGAAATACTGACTATAAATACGCATAAGGGACTTTACCAATACACCCGTTTAGTTTACGGTTTAAAAACAGCCCCTCAGATTTTCTCGAAAATAGTATGTGAAATTTTAAAAGGATTAGAAAAGGTACAGGTATACTTTGATGATATATTAATTGGTGGGAGCGATGTATATGACTGTAAAAGTAATTTAACTGCAGTTTTAGATAAATTGTTGGAATATAATATAAAAATTAATTTTGATAAATGTAAA